ATTTTTGCAAATGAAGAAAAAAGTGGCACCACACATATTTACACGAAAGCAGGTATAGAAAATTGAGTCATGAAATAAATACAGAGTGTGTGCTGCTTCTCGATAAGCTTAGAGAAAGTGCATATTACATCCTGTCATAGTACACGCTGTCTCATCTTCTTTCAGCCTGAATTGTAAACTTTTGAACACATTTCAATAAAAGAGTTGAATAGTTTGGAGACAAAAGTTCAGACCTTAGATGAGATAGAAGATGTATTGTCAGTATTGATCTGGACGACCCTGGGAGTGTGATGAGGGTCTGATGATTCATCCCCAACACTTCAGCCCTCTGTATATATGCTCTCATTACTCTACATCTTTAAACCATACCTTGTGTATATTGATCTACACCTGCCCACTCCGGCCAAGGCTGGGCCAAAACCGATATCGTGATCATCTGTTATGGCACTACACCAGTGAAGGGGAAGGCCGGTGAGTAAGTGCTATGGAAAGTTTCAGCATATGTTATGGAAGGTGTACTTTCATAAAATGCTGACCAGATTAAACCAGTTTTTGTGAGTTCATCAGAATGTGTCATGTCTATAGTACTTAATTTTGAAAAACTATGTAGTACAATTTTGACCTAGTTCTTGGAGCTGCCAAAATAAGATAAGATAACATATGCTTTATTTATCTCACAAGGATAAATTTACATGTCACGTTTGGCATGGATAGAAAACTCAGATTTTTTTTTTCAGTCTTATACAGTGACTTATTGTACAGTCTGACAGCAGTGGGGATAAAGGCCCTGCGGTAGCGCTCCTTCCTACACTGAGGGTGCCTCAGTCTTCCACTGAAGGAGCTCCTCAGCTCCTCTACAGTCCTGTGCAGTGGGTGGGAGGTATTGTTCATGATGGAGGTGGCTTTGGCTAGCACCCTCTTGTCCCTCACCTCCTCCACAGAGTCCAGGGAGCAGCCCAGAGTGGAGCTGGCCCTCCTGACCATCTTGTTCAGTCTGTTTCTGTCCCGCTCTGTGCTGCCCGGGGCCCAGCACACGGCAGCATAGTAGATGGCAGATGCTACCACAGAGTCATAAAAAGTCCTAAGCAGATGCCTGCTTACTCCGAAGGACCTCAGCCTCCTCAGAAGGAAGAGGCGACTTTGGCCCTTCTTGTACAGGGCGTTTGTATTATGGGACCAGTCCAGTTTATTGTTAATGTGAACACCCAGGTACTTGAAGCTGTCCACCAGCTCAATGTCCTCCCCCTGGATGTTCAGCAGCGTGTGGGAAAGTGGTTTCCTCCTGAAATCGATCACCATCTCCTTGGTCTTACTGGTGTTCAAGCACAAGTGGTTGCGCTCACACCAGTCGTTCCCCTCAGACAGACAGCCCACGATGGCGGAGTCGTCGGAGAACTTCTGTTTCTATCATTATTTTGGGTCCCGGCTCAAAAAGTTTCATGAGCCCATGCGCTGACATACTTGCAATTTCCCTCCAAGCCAGTGGGGGTGTACCATTGATCTATTATAATATGTAGACAGGGTATTACTAGCTTGGAGCTGAAGGACCCATGTGCTCTAAGGATTCTCGTGGTACTGTAGACTAGTAATGTAAGTAATGTTTATTTACAGTATATAGCGCCTTTCACAGACCAGAGTCACAAAGCACTTTACAATTGTGGGCATTTGTCTCCCACTCCTACTAAACAAGACTAAATTCACGTGGGATACACAGAAATCTTCCCCATAGGACTCAATGTAAACTAAAACAGCTCGACCTCAGCTGACAGAGAACCTACAGCGTTCATAAAGGTCGGATTTTGTGGGGATTTTAGTGTCCCTTGTCATTCTAGACTTATTTTCTTGTTGAATATTTTGGTTTTCTTTAAATCCACACTTTAGTGCCACAAACTCTGCTTGTTTGGCCCTTCATTTGAAGAGGGCGCCATCTTGGATCACCGGGGCTTGGGGTGGACCCAGAAACAAAACTATCCAACACTCTTTCCTCTCAAAAACGGCTTTACAGGATGGTCGAAACGTCGGCTATTGGCCCAAAGCTAGATGCGTGTCAATGAGTTTTTTTTTGTTTTTGGATCAGTCTAATTTAGGTTCTTGTTTATGGAAGCCCGTTTCCGCCATGTAAAAAAAAAAAAAAAACATACAGAAAGTCAAAATTTTGAGTTTAAAAGTCAAAATTACGACTTTAAATGTCAAAATTTCGACTTTAAAAGTCAAAATTTCGACTTTAAAATTACGAGTTTTCAACTGCGCATGTGCAGTTGAAAACTCGTATGTGTTGTTGTCTGGAACGGTTTCTGGACGTCCTTCACCTGCAGATTATGAGAAGATATTGCCGACAGTGACCACTGCATCCATGAAGTAGCCAGAAATAATGTTGTTTGATTGATTCTGTAAAACTTTCCTGTTTAAGCCCCAGACCGCGGTCGTAGGACGCAGGGGGAGCTGTCTTTTTATTTATTTATGTTAAATTCAATTTACATATATACAACGTTTAAATCAAACGACTTCTTATTTCGACATAGTAACAACTAATGTGAGCAATATGTTTTTATAATAAATCAAAGGAAAATGAGCCATCGAGATATTCCAATCCAATCTGCTATAGACCACTCTGACCAGACGATGGCGCTGAGAGGGGTCCACACGGAGCGAGTCTTTCCACGGCTGAAATGATGCGCTTTCTACGTGTTGAGTACGGGGTTTTATTCATGCATCTATAATGGGTTTAACTCCCTTTTCAAAGACCCTCACTGTTATCTGCTGAGTTATTTCTCCGGATTGTTGCTAAAAGAGTCGTGGGCTTTATTTTGTCACAATAAAATAATCAGACGGGGGGGCGCTCGTGAGCAGCAGCATGTAGAGACGTGTTTCATCGCTGCTCTGCAGGCTATTGTCACTTTTGCAATGTCTGCTACAGCTGCTGCTACCAATCCCGCATCACTGGACACAGATAAGCTAATGGCTGCTATAGCTAGCTCGGAAAAGAATGTGCTGGCAAAGATTACTACGCTCGATAAAAATGTGGAAGCCAAGTGCCAAGCGCTGTATGACACAATCGACTCCCTCGGTAGTCACTTCACGGAAAAACTTGAAGGTGTCCGTACAGAACTGTGCGCTAAGATTGACCCGCTAACTGCTAGCTTCTCTGACCACCAGGCCCGGCTAATAATAATAATAATAATTAGGGCTGTCCAAAATAGCGCGTTATTAACGCGTTAACGCAAATCAATATTAACGCCGTCATTTTTTTTATCGCGCGATAAAAAAAAAAAAAAAAAAAAAAAAATTTTATTGCAGACAAACACATATACAGAAAAAAAAATAGAAACAAAGAAAAGGACTAGTTCAGATACATTGTAGACAGAGATTACAAACAATATGTAGTTGGAGATACAGGGGGCCAAAGAAGAAACCCAGAAGGGCACATAGGAGGGGGGGGGGGGGCATGAAGTGGGATATGGGGGGAGGGGTTAATAAAAAAGGCAATACAAGCAAACAGTATACAGTCATAGATATACCGAAGGTAAACAGAAACAGCATAGAGTATTCACATGAACAAATTTACAAAATATTTACAGATTGTTTATCGTCATCATAATGACACCATGATGTTTCTATACAGTCTATGGTCTATACCCACACATACACACACACACCCACACACACACATTGAAGGGGCTTTTTGTTACCAATTATTTATTTTGTCATCCATTTATTGATGATTTTGCATCAAATGTTAGTGTGTAATATAACACTACACCTTGTTTTCAATAAAAAAAAGCAATTGCACACAGCACGCAAATGTGTGACTAATTTGCGATTAATCGCGAGTTAACTATGAAATTCATGCGATTAATCGCGATTAAATATTTTAATCGTTGGACAGCACTAATAATAATACATCAGTTTTGATAGCGCTTTTCAAGAACTCAAAGACGCTTCACAAATTCATGACACAAACACACACGTTTAGACAGACACACAAACTAAAACTAGCTACTAACTTGCTAACACTACTAACTTGCTAAAACTGGCTAACTAGCTTGGAAGCCGCTACTAACACATACTCAGAGTTGTGGATCTAGAGGCGGAAGTTCGCTGCCTAAAAGAAACTAACAGCCTTGGTAGATAAAACTGAGGACCTGGAGGGGAGACAAAGGCGTTGCAACATTCGCATAATCGGGATAAAAGAACAGTTTGAGGCAGGAACGCAACCTGTTGCTTCCGTGGCTAGGCTACTTAAGGAACTTTTACATTTGGATGCGGCCCCCACGTTGGACAGGGCACATCGTAGCCTGCAACCAGCCCCTGTGAAAGGTCAGAGACCCAGGCCGTTTATTGTCAAGTTTCACTACTATCAAGAAAAACTTGAGGTTCTTCGTAAGTCTGCGACGAATGGCCCCTTACGGAGCCCCTCTGATGACATGGTAAAAAAAAAATTATATTGTGGCCACAAAATAACTAATTTGTTCCCTCAAATTACTAATTTGTTCCCTCAAATTACTAATTTGTTCCCTCAAAATACTAATTTGTTCCCTCAAATTACTAATTTGTTCCCTCAAAATACTAATTTGTTCCCTCAAAATACTAATTTGTTCCCTCAAATTACTAATTTGTTCCCTCAAATTACTAATTTGTTCCCTCAAATTACTAATTTGTTCTCTCAAATTACTAATTTGTTCCCTCAAAATACTAATTTGTTCCCTCAAATTACTAATATATAGCTACAACTTCTATAAGGGTTAAGGTAGAGGCATTAGTAGGGCTAAAGCTACACCATGGACAGGGACAGTATAATATAATTTTATTTTAGGCTGGGAATGAGCTACAAAGACATTTTGAAGAGCCTGGCATTGCAAGGAACCATCATTACTGAGAGACATTTAAACAGAATATTGAGAGCCAGGTTGCTTTACAGGCGAAGGTATGACTTGGACGCCGGCATTGATTTTATTGTTGACCAACTGCAAGGCCCTGGAAAGGATCACGGCTACCGGTGGATGTTTACAAAGTGTAAACAACACGGTATTTCTATAAAAAAAGAAGACGTCAGGATCCTCCTCTCTTTACTGGACCCCATCGGTTCCCAAGCTCGCAAGCGCAGACGTCTCCGAAGGAGGCAATATTTTGCTCAGGGACCGAACTTTGTGTGGCACATAGATTCATATGACAAGCTGAAGCCATATGGGATATGTATTAATGGTTGCATCGACGGGTTCTCACGCAACATTATTTGGCTGCGGGCCGCCTTCACTAACAGCAACCCTAAAGTTATCGGGGGGTACTTTGTAGAAGCAGTGGAGCGCCGTGGGGGCTGCCCCAGGCTCGTACGAATTGACATGGGCATGGGCACTGAGAACGTGGTGGTTAGAGACATTCAGCGGTATTTACGGAGAAATTACATGGATGACAGAGCAGCGGAGAGAAGCTACATCACAGGAGCAAGTACTGCCAACCAGAGAATTGAGAGCTGACATCAGCAAACACAGGCCTAAATAAATAACTGCCTTAACATGGGAAAACAAGATATTAACAATAACAGAATATCATAAGACACTCGCCATAAGTACGTAATGCAGGTTGTACTGAAGGTATGCTAGAGTTGCTTTGAGCCCACGTTTGTTGCTAATTTGTGGGAACAAATTAGTAATTTGAGGGAACAAATTAGTATTTTGAGGGAACAAATTAGTAATTTGAGGGAACAAATTAGTAATTTAAGGGAACAAATTAGTAATTTGAGGGAACAAATTAGTAATTTGAGGGAACAAATTAGTATTTTGAGGGAACAAATTAGTAATTTGAGGGAACAAATTAGTTATTTTGTGGCCACAATATAATTTTTTTTTTACCATGTCATCAGAGGGGTTCCGTAGCCCCTTGCTCTACAATGGTGACAAAATCCTCATTTTTCCGGACCTGCCATCTTCAGTAGCGAAGAGGAGGGGGACTTTCAAGGACGTGAAAGAGATGCTCCGCGGATGTCAGGACGTGAGATACGGTATGCTGTACCCAGCGAAGCTGAGGATCTCCTCGCCTTTGGGGGAAAAGGTCTTCACCGATCCAGATGCTGCTAAGGTCTACACTGTGAGTCACCTTCTGAAGAAGGAGAGACGAAATGAAAGTTGAATATCGGCATACTTAATGTCCCTGTAGCATTTATTTGAGTTCTTTGTTCATAATGACAATTGGTTACTGTTCTTTTTTACCATAATTCACATTCACTTTTTATACAGAGTAGAAAGTCTGGACAATGGCAATCCTATATTTTTTTTCTTTTTTTTTTCTTTTACAATATTGTGTCAGATAGTTATTTTTGTAACTTCAGCTTGTTCTCTGCTGAGGGTAGCGTTGTTGTTGTTGTGTTTACATGTTACATTCAAGCTCTTTGGGGGGTGGGTTGAGGTTGTCTCCTCCGGAGTGGAGTGAGAAGAATCTACTTTTTTGTTTTTGTTTTTTTTTGCGGGGGGATGTTTTTGGTCAGTTTTTGCCTTTTTTAAAAATGTATTTATTTATTATTATTTTTTCTCTGTTGTATACGGCTGCAATCTCTTGCTCCTTCCCAATGCTCTGTGCTCCCATCATGATGGTCCCTCCTCACCATGAGTATAGCGGGTCCCCAGTTTGGCAGGTGGGCCCTGCTCTACTACATTTATCTCATGGAACGTAAAAGGACTTAACCCTTTAAGCGCCAAAGTCGCAATATTGCGACAAGCAACATTGCTCACTTAAACAGGCTGTATGTAAAAATGTGGTGCAGAATCTTGTTAGTACTTTTCACCAGGGGTTAGTGGACATGTGTGCCTGTAATATGAGCAGCATTTGTGGGTGTGGTTATATTGAAAGTTTTTGAGTAAATTGAGTTCGTAAAACACCTGCGGCGCAGCGGCGCGGAGGTGAAGCAGCAGCGGTAGAGCTGAGAGGAGCGAGAGCAGAGCAGAGGGAGAGAGTGTTTTTTTTATTTTACTCACGAGGTCTTCAGTACCAGAGAAGTACTTGGTCTGGTACTGGCTCACTCAGATTCAGAGGAGGAAGACACGCAGGTGTCCAGTGAAGCAGACTCGGCATTATTGGTGACGGGGAGACCGCGCCATTTAGTCCACAATCAGCCCCTGTGCAGCGGCTGCTTGTCCTCCGTGTGGCCGCGGTAGAAGCATTCTGTGAACGCCAAGCAGGGGCCGTGGTGGAGGGGACAGGGGCATCATAACACCGGGCATGTGGGAGAAAGTAGCCGGGGTAGACATCCGCGGGGAGACGCGGGAGAAGTTGCGGGGGAGCCGCGGGAAAAAGCACATCGCTTATCGCGTTCACTGCCTTTACCAACAGCGATGATGAGGATGAAGGCAGTTCTTGAGAGAAAATAATCCACAAAAGTGAACCAGAAGTGTTGAAGAGCCTGTTGTTTCTTGTTGAGACGATCTGACATGTTCTGTGCCCATTCATTTCATCTCTCTGTTTCTACACGATAAATCCTGAAGCCTCATTTCCACTGAGAAAAATAGTATGCCCACTACTTCTTTGAAAGGGAAATATTGAAACCAATCTCCAGATTTCATGACTGTAAACTATAAAGAGTGCAGTCTTGATCACTGAAGGTCTTTGAAAATAAAAAAATTCCATATATCTGCGAACCAGTGCTAAAACATTATGTATAATCTGAATCAGGGAATTTATTTCTATCCCAAATTCATTTCATACTAAAGATATATTTCACATTTACTGTTAAAAGTATTCCCTGATCTCAAATAACTCCCAAGCTACAGCTTTTTGAAGTCTTTATACAATAATTAACATTTTCCAAAATGGCCGCCACCTTGATGGCGTCAGAATATGCAAATTAGATGACGAATCAACTTCCATCCCAAAGTTTGGTTCAGACTGAAGATATTTCTAATTTACAGTATGCCTTTATCTCAAACCATTTTAAAGTTATAGCCTTTTGAAATCTTGAAATCAAAATTGTACATTTTCTTGAAAAAACTCTGGCGCCTAAAGGGTTAATAACTTTGTAAAGCGCAAAAAGATATTTGCACATCTTCAAACTTTTAAACCAGACATTGTGTTTTTACAAGAGACGCACCTCCGCTCTACGGATTGTAACAAACTTTCACACAGCGGGTTTTCGCAGGTTTATCATTCAGGCTTTGACTCCAGGGCCAGAGGGGTTGCCATACTTGTCAAGAAGAACTGTCCATTTCTTTGTTCAAAGGTAACGCATGATGTCAATGGTCGTTTTGTCGTGATCACAGGAAATTTACATAATAACCCAGTCGTTTTACTAAATGTCTATGCACCCAACTGGGATAACCTAATTTTTTTTAAGAAACTTATTGGTTTATTACCTGACTTGAATGCATGTTATTTAATTATGGGAGGGGATTTTAATGTGGTACTTGACCCAGCTCTCGATCGTTCCAAAACACGGCAAACTGCAGAAATTTCCAAATCAGCCTCAACTATTAAGTCCTTTCTTCAGAACTATGGTATTTGTGACCCACTGCGTGTGACCGAACCATCTGCCAAATATTACTAATTTTTCTCCTCAGTGCACCATTCTTACTCGAGGATTGATTATTTTTTATTGGATAAGGGCCTTATCCCCATAGTTACCACATGTAAATATCACTCTATTGTGATTTCTGATCATTCACCTGTACAAATGGATATCTCCTTTCCCAACGCGTGTCGTTTGCTGCGAACATGGAGGTTTGATTCAACTTTATTGTCGGATGAGGAATTCTGTAAATACATCGAGTCTCAAATTGACTTTTATCTTGAGCTTAATGATACTCCAGACATCTCTAAATCTATATTGTGGGAGTCTCTTAAGGCATATTTGCGTGGCCAAATTATTTCGTTTGTGGCTCAAAGAAACAAGAAGCGGTTTGAGCGGCTCAGGGAACTCACTGAACGTATAGCAAATCTTGGTTCAGAATATGCTGATGCCCCATCCCCAGATTTATACAAACAAAAGCTCTTGCTTCAATCTGAATTTGACACTCTTTCAATTAAAGAGACAGAGAAACTTTTGCTCAGAACGAGGCAAAAGATATATGAACATGGCGAACGGGCCGGTAGATTGCTCTCGCATCAACTACGCCAGTCAGTTTCAACTAACTCCATATCGGAGATCAAGGTGGATTCAAGCCGCACAACAACGGACCCAAAGGAGATTAATACAATTTTTAAGAAATTCTATGAAGGCTTTTACACCAGCCAGACTACATGTTCAAAAGCTGATATAGATTCATTTCTAAGCAAGTTAAACATTCAGGGAGTTAATTTAGAGCAACAAGAGCTACTGGAGGGATCGATCACAGTAGCTTAAATACTGAAGGCAACCAGATCCCTACAGAGTGGTCGGGCACCAGGACCTGATGGATTTTCATGCGATTTCTTCAAAGCATTTGCAATCAAATTAGCACCTTTACTTTGCAATGTGTTTTTAGAAACACATGCAAACAACAAATTGCCACAAACCTTATCTCAGGCCACGATCTCTTTGATACTAAAAAAGGATAAAGACCCTCAAATGTGCGAATCCTATAGGCCAATCAGTTTATTAAATGTGGATTATAAAATCCTCACAAAAATTCTTGCACTGTCTGGAAAAAATTGTCCCCACAATAATTCACGAAGATCAAACAGGCTTTATAGCTAATCGTCAACCTTACTTTAATACTCGACGCTTATTTAACGTCTGGTATGCCGACCATTCCATAACTCAACCTGAGGTGATAATCTCCCTTGATGCCGAGAAGGCTTTTGATTGTGTAGAGTGGTCATATCTGTTGTCTGTCATGACCAGCTTTGGTCTTGGGCTCAAATTCACATCATGGATTAGGATTTTGTATTCACTGCCACTCTCTTCGGTTCGAACTAATAATATTGTTTCAGATTATTTCCCATTACATAGGGGTACTCGGCAGGGCTGCCCCCTCAGCCCCTTGCTGTTTGATATTGCCATAGAGCCATTGGCAATGATAATGCGCTCTGATGAGGGTATTGGCGGTAGAGATCGGGGAGGCGTAACTCACAAGCTGTCTCTGTATGCCGACGATCTACTTTTATATGTATCAGACCCTGCAGTGTTTATCCTCAGAATATTGGACGTGCTAGGATCGTTTGGTAGCCTCTCTAGATATAAACTAAATCTATCCAAAAGCATATTATTTCCTATTAACCAAATCGCCTTGATTACTCAGATATCCCTTTCAAAATTGAGGAAAACTCTTTTACTTATCTGGGGGTCCAAATTTCTAATACCTATAATAAGCTCTTTGAACATAACTTTACACCACTTTTTATTAAGACTCAAAAAGATTTGTTGCGCTGGTCTGCTTTACCCATCTCTCTTGCTGGGCGTATCAATACTATTAAGATGGTAGTCTTGCCCAGGTTCATGTACCTTTTTCAGATGCTGCCCCTTTTCCTGCCCAAAACATTTTTTTAAAAATTAGATAGTGCAGTGGCCTCGTTCATATGGAACCAGAAATGCCCAAGAATCCGTAAATCCAGATTACAGTGCTCTAAAGCAGAAGGGGGCCTTGCCCTGCCAAATTTCATGTATTACTATTGGTCAGCTAACATTGTAAAACTTGCCACCTGGCTCCGCACATTCAAAGAGGGCACTGGTCCACTCTGGTCTGTTATGGAACTGACCTCTAATTCTTATGCCACACCTATTGCCTCAATGTGTTCCTCTCTGCCAGCAGAAGAGAAAATACATTTTACAAATCCCCAGGTTAAAAATGTGCTTAATATTTGGTTTCAATGTCGTCGTCATTTTGGCCTCAAGACCACCCTTATCTGTTCTCCCATAACTCTCAATCCGCTTTTCCCACCAGCCTTAAACGAGTCTGGTTTCAGAATTTGGCAAGCGAAGGGACTTGTATTTTTTGCAGATTTGTTTGCAGATGGCTCGTTTATGTCATTTGAGGATTTGTGTACAAAGATGGAGCTTTCGCGAAAGTTCACTGTGGTAGACCCGGCTGCTGCTGCCCAGGCCACAGGCTGCTCTTCCTCGACTCATCAATACCAGCAACGCCCACATCCAGTCAACCAATAACCACCAGGACAGCAAGTTAAAAGCCGGAGACTCCCACTTCCCGGCCTTCTGAAGTCTGCAAGGTGCATGTCGCTAACGCTCCTGTTCGCAAATGCATGCGTTGTTCTGGAGGGGTCGCTTTCTGCTCACGTGTTGCTCGTGCGCGTGGCCCGGCTGTCCTCAGTCTGGCTGCTCGTGGTCTGCTCCTCTTCCGCGTCCCTGCACCTGCTGTGGTTCGCGTGTCTCCACTGTTCTCCTCTGCGGGCTCTTCTGCGGGCTGCTCCGCGGGGCCCCCTCCGCGGGTCATGTGCTGCTCGTTCCTCGTGGTCTGCTCCCGCGCGCAGACGGTCTGGCGGTGCCGTGCGTGTCCCTGCCTCCGACT